TATTTGGATCAAGGTACTGGCAGCAATTGATCTACGAAACAAAGTTTTACAAGCTCGAAGTGCCACATTGGATGTTGAGGTGCGCAATGTTGATGATTTATTGAAGGAGTTATTTGCTTTGCGTCAGCAATGGCCATGCCTTCTTGCTGAAGCAAAAGCAGTAGCAGGTGAAATTGGAATACCTGTTGAATTTCCAGTCAAGCGAAAACGACAAAGGAAATCGTTTTTTGATGAAGCATCTCATGATGATACAAGAAATATTAATGCAGAAGACACATTTAAGAATGAAGTATTTTATGTCCTTGTGGATGCAGTTATTGGAGGAATCACAACTAGGTTTAATGCAGTCAAAAAGCTCACTGGTACCTTTTCGTTTTTGTGGAAATATTTGAGTATGAATGAGACTGATTTGCATTCAAGTGTACAGAAATTTGTGGATGCATATAGTGTGGATGTATCTAATGATCTCATTCAAGAAATGGATGAAATTAAGAAGATTCACACAGCTAATTTTGGTGAGGACCAGTTACAGCCATTTGAGCTTTTGAACAGTTTAAACAAATATAAACTGACCACACTTTTTCCAAATTGCTGTATTGCACTTCGCATTTTTTGCACGCTGCCAGTAACCGTTGCTGAAGGTGAACGTTCTTTCAGTAAATTAAACCACATCAAGAACTACCAACGTTCAACCATGACCGAAAATCGATTGACTGACTTTGGAACACTAGCAATTGAAAGCAAACTTGCAAGACAGTTAAATTTCGATAATATCATTGATCACTTTGCTAGTTTAAAAGCCAGAAAGGCACATGTTTAATTATCTAATCATTGTAATGATGACTTATTATACTTTAATTATAATGTACACTATAAATATCATGGGGCCCCCTGAAGTGAGGGGCCCAGGGGATTTATCCCCTGCTCCCCCCCCCTCTCAGTGGGCCTGCATATGATATCATCCTCTGAACTCTTAACAATAATACTCAGTGTCAGTATCTGATCCATTGAAATGAATCTACTATTCAACAATCCATGAACTCTTTATTAGGAGTTAGGAGCCATTTTACACACGTGGTAGCACCTGGGCCAAGTGGGCAGTGACTTGTAGGTGTGGCTTGCCTTAAGAAATGTGGGGCGTGTAGAAGCTCAATTAAGTACATCAAGTAAATATGAACCAGTTACTGATAATTTACACACTTTGTATGTCATTCGGATCAGAAGCAATAACTCCACCTCCTCCTGCTAAACCAGGACCAGAGAAAAGAAAGGTATGAATGTATTTTATGTTGTTTTATTATTATTATGCACTATTAGGCCACTAGCTCCAACTAAATTTGTAGCGGTTTCTCC